TAGAGGACAATGATGTCCCACAGTCTTGTTCTTTCAATAAGGTTTCCTTTTTCAACTTCTGAATTGCAAACTGGACAGTGGTGTTTGTGTATGAATAATGTCCTCTTTCATTCTGACGTTCAACTGCAACACCACTATGCATTGTTCCGGGGCCCTTTAGGGCCTTGAGCACAATAATGACCTCAGGAAAGAGACATGGCATGTACATGTTTTTATCAGTCTATAGACAAAAAAGTAAAGAAGTAAAAAAGCAAAGGGAAAAGAAATTGGCTGAAGACAGCATTATCTAGAGCTGGATTTGACACTGCTTCCAGCGGTGACTGCGTGTAGCTGTTGTGACTGCATTAAAACTTAGTCCCTGACTTTTTGAAAGTTCCTATTTTACAAGACAAAAAAAGCTACTGTTAAAAATGGAAAAGGATCCTGTGGTAAAAATGCTTTTGTAACTATTCCTGACTTCCTGAAATGATGAAGGAGACTCTGTGTGTGCGCGCGTGTGTGCTCCTGTACATATGGAGTGAGTGGTGGGAAGGAACCAACAACGGCAGTGAGCTTGTTCTTAATCATCTTAAGCGTGAACAGCACAATATTCCTGTTAAGTAGTTCTATTTTATCTCTCTTTTTGAAGAGTCTTCAATGTTGCAACAAATCAGAAAACTGTTTAAACAAGAACAAAAAAAAAATCCTCAAACACAGCAAAGGGTGACTTTTATATCCGGTGCAACATCATGTACCCTGTTACTACATAACCAAATTATATCTAACAAAAACTTAATAACATTTAGTAACAGTAACAACAAAAAAGTACCTTTTTGCGCTTAGGAAGGTGCCATTCATCCATCTTAGCATACTCTGATGAGCAACCCTGGGAATTCAACTACATGGAAAATTTCTCCAGCCAAATGAAAACATCAGCAATGAATCAAACTCCACACCCTACTCAGCAAAAAAACAGAAAAGCAGATCAGAACAGTGTTGCACCATATCCAGGCGAACATTACTGAAAAATCAGGAATTTATTTGTATCATTCTATCTTTAAAAAAGGAAAGCTGTCATTGCAAATGTCATTGCTGTCATTCCCTGCAAGCGGGGAAATGCAATCATTATGGCAGTTACAGCTGTAGCAGGGATATAGCGTATTTTATTGTGTCTCCTCAACAGCAACAAAGGGAATAAGAATAGGAATATTCTCATAAATCTTCACAGAAGTCTCAGAGGCAAAGCAATGTTGGTACACACAATGCGTGCGTAACTCAACAGAGTATTAGAGATGAGTAGAGAAACAGTACACACAGATAAATGCTCTAAATATGTAAAAGTTGCTTACTAACTGTTGTAGAAGACAACTACGTTTCATATTGCACCAACAAAGAACCAATTTATGAACAATTCCTTCAAACAAACTGACTCAAATCAAGATTTGTACAGATCTTTGCATTCAAATTAACCCACGTGCTTAATGCTAAGCAGCACTGAACAACAGAACTGCCTCTTTCTTTTATTTTCTGAAGAGGTTAGAGGGAAAACATCGCAAACTATCTTGGGGTGGCATTTTCCAATGTTTCATAAACGCATCTCTCAATCTTTTTCCTACACACTGATGAAGTGCCAGTTTTTGGCTGTGGTAAATGCAGCATAAATTGTGCAAATCACTTGAATGAGCTGAGGAAGTTGAATCTTGCCATGTTGGAAACTCCGTAGATTGATGTGCACGTCAAAAGGTCTTTTGGTCTAATAATTTGCACGGCCAATGTTAGCAAGCTGTCTGTACAGGAAATAAGGATCGATAATGAAGTCCCATAAGTCAAATAGCTCATGCAGCCAGCCAATATTATTTAAAATTAAATATCTAATCAAAGCAATTTAATGCTGGCTCTATGGCCGAGTAACAGCCTGAGCTCAGTTAAAAAAAAAAAAAAAGTTATTAGAAACATGTAAAAAAGGGGAGGGGAGACCTACAAATTTTATTTGAGACATGATACTAGATGTCTCTAAGCCCTGAACATTGATTTATACCAGTACAAGAAATAAAGATAACAAATCCAAATTCTCCATTCAATTTCCCTGGAGATACCATTTTCCACCTCATTTCAGTATCTTACTCAAAAAGACAATATAAAGGACCAGATGAATCGGGCATATACCGGACTCTTTCTTCTGGTTGAACGGAGGTGAGAGTACGTGGGGAAAAGGGGAGCTCACTGTCCTTCTTTCAGCCCTTTAAAGAAGAAACCAGCTCAGACTGTCCAGCTACAGGTGCCATGAAAGGACATGTCAGGGACGAACCGAGGTGGCATGTGTACCTCTCGACATAGGCTGTGCCTGCCTACACTAGCAAACAGCCTGAGCCAATAAGAGCAGCTGTACAGACGAAATACTTGGTGCTGAGGACATGATGTCTTTACCAGACCCACTTCAGGGTTTTTCTTTTAACTTAGGACTAGCTCTAGCCTGGTTCCATGGACTGAATGCCAATTTGTGCTGGAGCGTGTCTCCTGAATTCATTTCAGCCAGTAGGAACCCATTTCCAAGCCCTGAAGAAGGGTAGAAGAAGGGATGAGGGAGTGAAGAGCTTCAAAAGTGCTTGCCTGATACCCACTAAAACACTGATGCATGGTAACTTCCCAAATGAAGAACGGCTAAAAGTGTTAATAGAAAGTTATTATATGGAAGGGTCATGCCTATAACCAGACTTCATCGTAAGTGTGTTTATAGTAAAAATTCCATTCACCTAGGGTTAAATTAGCTGCTATCAGGAATTCAACAGCACCTGGAGGACAATGTAAGAGCATACACAATTCCCATCAACAAGAGAAAGGAACGAACACTCAGTCTAGCTCCTCACTGTAGACAGCTGAACTCCCCCTCCATTTTAGCTTGAGCTGTGACTGAGCCAGCAGGATTTTTCGTGATTTTTTGCTGTTACCACAGTGAAGGTGACATCTCATCCTGCAGCTGTTCTTAATATAGTTTTTTTACCCACACTCAGAAGTTTATCCATGAATAACTCTTTTATAAACTTTAGTTCTATAAGTGCCAGCACCCAGAACCAGAACCTTGGCATTGCAAAGCCTGAAGGATCTTCTTCTCCTAAAACCCAGTTTTTGGATCCCTTAAATTGGAAAGTAAATACCCATACAACTTACTACACTAAAGGGGCATTAGTAGGGAGGGGCTACAGACTCAGTGCCTTCAGGCAACACTAATAACAAGGAGATCTGCACTGAATTTTGTCTTGCAGCACCTAACCAAGGAAGCTGTATTTGCTGCTGGTGGGATTGTCTACAGTGTTCCAAGTGATTGAATCCTTCCCTGAGATAGCATTTTTAACATGTTAATATTTCTGATCTAAAGCATACTGAGAAGATTTCTAAGGCAAAAGAAGGCCACCCAGTCAAGGAAGGTAATCTTATTTACCCTAGGGTGTGACGGAGCACCTTAGCTCTGAGTACATTAGCTTCCCTAATGACGAAATGGAACGTTGTGAGGACAGCATTATTATTGAAATGTATGTAACTCTGACACCTTGATTCTACTTGGTGATTTCTGCTGTGCTCCTAGATTAGCAGCTGTGAGCCCTTTCCTGGCTTTATATTAGACCTGAGACCACAGCATACGGGTTTGCTTAAGTCCATCTCTAGTTCTAATTTCTTTCTGTAAATGGAAAATATTTGGCAAATAGAGTCTTTCAGGCCATGTCAGATTTTGATTTCGTTTTTATTTGTGGCACTAACAAACATCAATATTTTACAATATATAATATATAGTCACATTAAATGCAAATGGCTAAATATTCCCGAGCTTTCAATGTTACACAGCTATACATTTTAAATTTTAGCCCCAACAAAACAGAATCTGCCACCACTCCTGTCTGTGATTATAAAAATGTAAATGTACAAACCTCCTCTTCTTCCATTTCATTACAATATAGGAAATGTGAAAAAGCATTTTCATATGTCCTTTTAAGTTAAATCAATTTAACGAAATATTTTCAAAATATGTACAATAACAACTACCAAAGTAGTTAACATTTGAAAAAGATGCTGCTATAAATACTTCTGAGACAACATACAACAGCCATACAAATTGGAAACAAAGAGCCAGCTTATGCATGACCTGAACAAGAGACGACAAAAGTCCTGTTACTGATACAAACCAGCTTCACTTCATTTTGCAGTGCAGGAATGAATTCTAAATCTTGGACCTCTATGCAGTACTCTGACTCTTATTTATAACCTTCACAGTCTGTAGCAAATAGCAATCCTTTAAGGTGTCTCAATAGTTTTGAAGTGCTGTGAATGTTACTAGGGTTCAGTATATTGCTGCATATTAGCATTCTGTACGTCATATCCCATAAGTAACTTTTCAATAGACACTGTGTCACATTCACTATTGATTGTCTGCCTTCTCAGAGCTCCACCAGAGATATAAAAGGTCATCTAATTTTAAAAACCAATGACTCCACCATATGACAATTTAGGTCCTTCACAATGTACCATAACTTTTTTCTTGTGATTGTTTTTTATAGATCTTTATTCTGGTTTTCACCCTAATTGTCACAGGCCTTTTCCAAATCAAAGAAGAAGCAAGTAAATAGCTTGAAATAGTTACGTATTTTTAACAACTTGAAATGAGTATTACTTTCCAGATAGCTAGCAAAGTCTTTTAATTTTGCCCATAAACACAATTAAGTATTAACACAGGACTGCATAGTGTTTATATTCTTATTAACCTGCCAACAAGAATAGTTTATTGGCAACCTTAAATATTCAGAGGCAAAACACAATTCCTTGGCACAGAAGCTTTACAGCATAGCAACATATTTTCCCCTTAGAACCATTATGCAGGAGCACACAGAAAATTAACTACAACTTATTTTGGCTCGTAGACAAGAGAATAAACTGAACTTCTTGATGTTTTTTGCCACTTCAGACCTTGAATGATGATTATGGGTGCATACGGGGTTAGATTTTCCAATTACCTGTTCTTTATACATGATTCAAACGAGCAGAGGGACCTATAACAAAGAAAAGCACATGATCATTCAAGATATTTTTAAACCTCCAACTGTTGACACTGTTAAGCAAACATTCTCCTATGGGGCTGTTTTCAAGCTCAGTCTCTTCATCAGCTCCTTGAGACCACTTAAAGCTTATCTGCTTTTTTCT